TTATTATTTTTTTTTGGCTCTTATTTCTTTATTCGATTGCTGTTATAGGTTCGTGCTGTCATGGAAAAATACCCTCCTTATCAATCCATATTTGCCAAATTATCTTATGGAGAGAGCCAGATGCTTGACAAGGCATTTTATGAAGAGGAGGTGAAGAGACTGTGCTTAGCATTTGAGCAACAGGTTTGCATTGCATAGATTGATAATTATTTATGAAAGTGTGTATTGAAGCACAGCTGATTACATCTAGCTCCTTTCAAAAGCTCAAAACAGAAATTGATTCACATTCTAGTCAATTTTGATTCACTTTGTAGTTGATTCCGTTGTATGATTTTGCTGACAATGGAATATTCGGTTTCTTTTCTGAGCTGCAGTTCCACTATGCTGTGTTCTTTGCATACATGAGGTTGAAGGAGCAGGAGATCAGGAACCTGATGTGGATATCTGAATGTGTGGCTCAGAACCAGAAGTCCAGAGTCCATGACAGCGTTGTTTTCATATTTTAGTTCATTTATAATTAATTTGATGAGATGAACTCGTTCTTTTTACATAGTTGTCTGTAAATCTCGCTGCCATTTGATTATTGTGAGGTGCTGTGACAGTCCCTGCACTGTGTGCAAGTTTCTCAAATAAGTATTTATCCATATGTTCAACTTTTTATGCGGAGAGAGAAATCTTGTACACGGGTTCATCAGTATATCTAGAATCTGTGTTTGAACAAATTTATTGATCTGAAGTGCAAACTTCAGAAGAACGTTGTTGTTGTTGTTGTTTTTTTTTTTTTTTTCCTCAAATGTTAAAATTTGCATAGTAAAAGAAATTTGGCCATAGTGTTTGCTTGCAAAATCGACATCAATGACTGAGAATTCACTTCCTGTTCAAATTACATTTTCAGGGCACGAATTTGTTTATGCTGTGTGTTTCAGTGGAATGTGTTGTCTTTCTGGTTCTTGGTTTTCAATTTCTTGATGATTACCAAGCTCGAACTAACTGCCTGAGAATTTGTATCATTTTGTTTTTTTTTTCTTGGTTAATTGGTAGGTGATAATTTGCTATGAAATAATTATTTCAACTAAAAATAGTTTTGAAATAGTAACAAGCCCAAAAAATAAAATTACATCGGGATTCACTCTGAAATTCAAATTCAAAACTTCAATAGTTGAGATAATAATACTGTTTATCGGAAAATGACATGGATGCATATGGGCTAAAAGTTTGTATGATACAAGAAAAGAAATTTCTTAATGTGATGTGCATTATTTGTTCAATTTTGTCTTATATGCAAACAGTGTAATCCTTTCTATTGGTATGTAAACAAACAAAGGAGGCAGAAAGTGTAGTAGCATCTCCATTTTTTGTTTTTTTTTTTTTTTTTTTTTTTTTTTTTTTTTTTTTTCCTCAAATGTTAAAATTTGCATAGTAAAAGAAATTTGGCCATAGTGTTTGCTTGCAAAATCGACATCAATGACTCAGAATTCACTTCCTGTTCAAATTACATTTTCAGGGCACGAATTTGTTTATGCTGTGTGTTTCAGTGGAATGTGTTGTCTTTCTGGTTCTTGGTTTTCAATTTCTTGATGATTACCAGACTCGAATTAACTGCCTGAGAATTTGTATCATTTTGTTTTTTTTTTTTCTTGGTTAATTGGTAGGTGATAATTTGCTATGAAATAATTATTTCAACTAAAAATAGTTTTGATATAGTAACAAGCCCAAAAATTAAAATTACATCGGGATTCACTCTGAAGAAATTCAAATTCAAAACTTCAATAGTTGAGATAATAATACTGTTTATCGGAAAATGACATGGATGCATATGGGCTAAAAGTTTGCATGATACAAGAAAAGAAATTTCTTAATGTGATGTGCATTATTTGTTCAATTTTGTCTTATATGCAAACAGTGTAATCCTTTCTATTGGTATGTAAACAAACAAAGGAGGCAGAAAGTGTAGTAGCATCTCCATTTTTCATTTTGTCTCGTCATTTTGTTTATTTTGTTTTAATCTTCCTCTTAAATTTAGCAATGCTCACTCAATTTTTATTAATGATAATAGTTATTTGGTCATTACTGCTGTTTTGAAATTTTCAATTTCTTTTTTTATTTTTAAAACATTCACTTTGTGTCAATTACTCAATTGGGTTAATGCTAATGTTTTGGATTTCCTTTACATTCAGTACAACTACATGAAGAGTAGTAGTAGTAGTAGTAGTATGTTATGTTGGTAAAAAGTGAGTCACAATTATTTTTCTGTTGCCTCGTTTTCTAGGATGGAGGGTGCACAAATTATTACAGTATTCGCATACAAAGCTAATTCGGTTTGCAGTCAGATTTAATGACTATAACTCTTAATCAATAAACCTTTGACCAATGACAAACACCGCCTTTTTTTTTTTAGAAAAAGAAATATTTGAAAACATTGGCCGTCAAGTATGCAGTTGGATTAATTAGTAGCCCAAAAAAAAAGACCAAAGCGTGTTTCTTTATTACGAGAAAATTGAAGAAACCGATAGAAACGTTTGTCGCATTTTTTTTATTTTTCTCTTTACAGAAGCTCAAAGTATGGAGTCATTATTAGTCTAATCAGATACTCTGATGTACCTTAATTTATCTCTCTGTATGTGTGTCTCTATAAGTGCTTATACCATGGCGGAGAGAAGGCTCCACATATTGGCCAGTCCAAAACATCATTTAGAGGGGCCCTCCCTTGTATTGTATGACATGAAAAAATGTTGGATCATCGACGCGGAACGCGTTTTTGGGTATTCCTGTGGGTTCTAAATCTGTGAAATGAAAACCCTTATATTCTCTTCAAAGTATCACTTTGTTGTCTAAAAGACCTCCATGAGGACCCTACCATTATCTCCTCTTCCAACACACATTTTCACTCCCCACTATTGAGAGAGAGGAAAAACAAAAAAAACAAAAGCAAAGAGGTGCAAAAGCTATGAGAGCACAGTAATATATGGACATGACATGATATTGATCATGTAAGAAAACAAGACCTTGAGCAAGAAGTTGGTTCACTTTACAAGTGGTGAATAGAGGTATATGAAAATGTAGTGTGTATGGAAAGGCATACACCACAGTAACATATTTTTAGCTCAGTTGAATAAATGTCATGACCTAGGTGCTTCAGTTTAATGACGACCTCATAGTTGGCCACCCATACTATGTTCTCAAATTTGTTTTTGTCCCTTTGTCCCGAATGCATTCTAACTGCACCATTTTTATGAGAATTTCAAGACAGTTGAATAAGAGGATCTAATTTTTTAAGGTAGAAGATCCTGTATCCTTATGTTATCATTTAGTTCATCTCAGTTTCTTTTTTTTATAGTCGAAAAGAAAGCCTTGGTGTAAAATATTAAAATGAGGATATTGTAGTTTCTTTACGAGAAATAGAAATTAACCCACATTTCATAACTAAGAAATAACTTGATGAGACCGAAATAAAATATTCTTATTCGCTTGTTTCTTTATTTAGTGGACTCCATTACAGTGACACATATATTCTTTATATATATATATATATATATATATTTTTGGTTTAATTATATAAACGAAAACTTCATCTTTTCTGTTTTTTGCTTTTTGTTTTTTATTCTAGGGTCAAAAAGGAAATCTAAGCATATAGTCTCAAATGTGAGGAAAAGAGCTTCATACATGAAATGGCTTTAATCATTTCATCATATGGAACTTTTTCTTCTAGTCTGACTGGGGGGATCTATCAACTGATTTTTTTATTTTTTTTTCATTAATCTCCAAGAGTAACAGTTTAGTTAAAGTTGATCCTAATATAGTGACCTCATGAAATCCCATCAATAACTATGAGAAACATGGATTTCAATTAGGGATAATTTCATTTTAAAGAAAAGTATTTTCAAATTAATGATAAACTTTATAAGTATTAAAAACTAAAATCATAAAGTTTTCATCGTCTTGTAATTATTTTGAGAAAATTCCACTGGCATGGAATTTTCCCTTTCAATTATGAATACCCACCACTACCGCTGCCGCTGTCACTGCCACTGCCACTGCCACTTCCACTGCCTCTGCCACCATCACCACCACTACTCCACCTGTCCTACCACCACTCCACCCATCATCACCTATCCTACCACCACTCCACCACCACCATCCTTCATTTCTATTGGGAAAAAAAAAATTTAATAAAGTAAGTTGTTTGAGTTCGTTTGTCCAACTTGTACCCAATTCAACCTACCTCTTAAACCCATTTATTAAATGGGCAAGTTTCAATTAGATTGTTTTAAACGCATAATTTGTTTGACCCACCCTAACCCCGCTGTTTGCCACCTCTAGTTGATCCTATTAGTAACCTCATCAAATTTCATATCTATGAGAAACATGGATTTCGAGTATGAATAACCAAAAGTGTGAACTTAAGACAGACAGTATTTTGGAAATTTGGATGGCTTGGATTGTTTGGTCAATGCTCATTACAGTGTTAACATCACTATTAGCTGGATGCTGGTATAGGGTGTCATGCCAATCACCCATCAGACTTTCATGAGCGTAAAATTTCAGTTTTAACACCAAAAGAATCAGAATTCAACAACTAGCCATGAAAAACTCAAAAAGGAACAAAAATTTAAAACAAATGAATACGAGTTAGATACATAAGATGTGTCGCACATAGCTTGGCTTCACAAATTCATATCAATGGCCATTCTGCGATACATTCATAATTTTTGATCATCGGATGAACAAACAACAAGTGGTTTCAGAACATATTTGAATCACCTTTTGCGCATAACCCGTGCACGCTCACGTGCAATCTGCAATTAGCATATTATCACTGTGGAATAAAGGGGAGCAATATGAAGGACCTTTAGCCCCTAACTTTGACATTCACATTCTAACCTTGCCCCATCAAGGTATGGTCCTTGTGTGTGTACATAAAGAGATGAACCACATTATGGCCTTTTCATGCTTTTGTCCTCTTGTGTTTTGGTCATAGACCCATGTCCCATGAAGGAAAGTTAATGACAAAAAGAGAACAGCAAGTACTTTAAAATCTTATAAGAGACATCTCTCTCACTTGGCATTTGGTTCATTCCGTCACCGAAAAAAGAAAAGAAAATAAAATGGGGGATCAATGCAGTCCTCTGAGCTGGGGTTGGTACAACCAAGAAGAGGTAAAAATCTAGTACTAATTTTCATTTTTTGTTAAAGATTTTTATTGGGTTTTCTTCATTGAGAACAATGGACATTGTTTTGTGCATTTTGTAGGAAATTGAAGAGTTCAAACATTCTCTTTTTTACACAACTTGGGAGCTAGAGGCAACAATTGCGTCTGCTCAAGAAGAAATTGGAAGAAAAGAAGACGAACTGATATATATCAAACTTTTATTGACAAAGACAATGAAAGAGAGAGACGAAGCCCAAGCAAAATGCCAAAGACTAATGTTGGAGAATGCCATCCTCCAGCAGCAACAGCAGCAGCAGCAACAACAACAACAACAACACCAACAACAATTAGAAGCTGCTCATCTGCCGGGGGCCAAGGGCAATGAAGATGAACATAGAGGTGGTGAGTCCAACAATGGATTCTCATACTCGGATTCCAACGAAATCGCCATTGCTTCACCTGGTATGGACCCAATTTCACCACCACCACCATTACAATTTCCATTGGCATTGCCACTAGAACAAGTGACAGAAAAATTGGCATCCAGAAAGCAGTTACCGGAGAAAGGGAAGTTTTTGCAGGCGGTGATGGAAGCAGGACCGCTGCTTCAAACACTGCTACTGGCTGGACCGCTTCCTCAGTGGCAGCACCCACCTCCCCAACTCAACTCAATTGAGATTCCACCGGTGACCATCCCTTCACCGGTGCCGCAGCTTCTCCACCAGGAGTCTTGTGTTAGTACAAATGGCTGTTTCAGCATGAAGAGGGGTACTCAGGTGGTCTGTGAAGTCTCTGATTCTTCCCCAAACACCAAGTATCAAAAGGTTGTTCACCAATCACCATTGACCAATGCCTAATGGAATCGATGGCTAGAAATCAAGAACTTGGACACAAAGAAATATCAAGAAAAACTATGTGCGGTGCAGATTCATTAAAAGTGTGAGTCCCATCATTCAAGAGTTAAATCTGGATCACAGATTGTTTTTCTGAATATCTTTTTCGTAATGCCTAGTAGCATTACTGCTTAAAATTTGTAAACTAGTTTTTTTTTTTTTTTTTTAGAAATTGAAGATCCTAACCCCCGAGAGAGACTCTGAAAGAGCAATATCTAAAATCTTTTCATTTTTCAATTTTCCTTAGCTTTTTTCATGATGGATGGAGACTTTGATCTTTCCTTTGCTACTATAACTATAATTTTCATGTAAAATTAGAACTTGGGGCTTAAATTCTCCAAAAAATAGTGGAGAATTCATGTGGAGACATTATTATCTTTGCTTATACATAAATATATATGTAAGCCAATGTTGGTAGATTGTGGTGATGTGTTTCAATTGTTACTGTTGGGCTCGATCTTCTGTCTAGCTGTCTTTTTATTCCACCACTCACAAATTACAATCACACGATTTAAATTTTTTTATATTAAAAATAAAATCGTGTGACTATAAATATATAAAAAGAGGGAGAAATACTTTTTTAGATAAGAGTATGCCCTGCCATTAGTACCATCCTGCTTTTTGTCTGAGTAATTTGGAAAGTTTGAATGATGAAGATGGAGAGGCACACACACATGACCTCAAACAAAGCAAAGCAAAGGAAGATATTGTGATTGATCCTCTTTTTTTTCATGAAGTTGTGCCTACCATACCATGCGTGGTCTGTGTCTGCCATTTGAGATTATGTCAATTATACACTCTTCAAAAGTTATATACACCATATGCACTTTTACTTTTACTTTCAATGCTCTATTTATATATAAAAAAATGTTAATTACCTTAGGACCTCCTTAATTAATATTATCTTAATTCCTTCACTTGTGAACTCTTTTTTTTTTTTTTTTTGCCCTCAATATAAAAAAGAAAAGTATCAGTTTTACCTGCTCTTTTCCTCCTCTAGAAGGAAGCATTGGTAGGGTTTTTATAATTGAGTTGGTCCTCCTCTAGAAGGAAGCATTTGCTCAAAATGTACAAGTTCATAAATGAATGAGGTAAGATGATATTCGCTAATAATTGAGTATGTTCTGAGTAATTAATCTCAAAAAACTTATATATAATCTCATTGTGGATTTCTTTGTCTTGTGTCTACGAGTTAAAAATAAATAAATAACAAAGGGATTACCAATAACATTACTCATAAAAAAATAAATAAATAAATTTGAACTATTAATCATACAAATTGGATGGTAACTGACTCCAATTTGAACCATAACCGAAAACTACTTTGATGGTAACAATGTTATCACAGTAAGTCATAATTAACATTACTTTAGAACATAATCAAACATCACAATTATGTAAATAACTTTAATTTGATAATGACTCATAATCAAATATTACAATAATTCATAACTACTATCAATTTTAACCATAACTAACATATAATTTGCGTATAGGCCATTCTTCGGATAAGGTAGATGTAGTCCAGTTTTAGTTGAACCCAGTTTGAAAATTAGAGAGTAGTCATATTCATTCATTGTGAACAGCCTATCTTTGTAAACAAACAAGTCAATGGAAAGAATATACATGAAATTAAAATAATAAAAAAAAGAATTGCTTTCCTATTAATGGTGCGGTCGTTATCGGGCGGTGCACATGCTAGTCACCATCAAAGAAAGGCCCACTGTTTTATTTATTTATTTATTTTTATTTTTTTACAATCCAATCAAATAAAATCAAACCAAACCTTAAATCTTATTATATGAGATGGGTTACAGGAATTATTTTTCTTCACTGGTTCAAAGTAAGATTCATCTTATAAGAGATTCGAGTGACTTTTTTACGTGTTGACTGTTGATTACCTAACACACAACTCTTCTCCTTTATCCGACCTTAGGACCGACAGAAATGTTTCAGCAGCCCGGCCAAGTTAATCAATGAAAGGGAATAAAAAAATTAAAAAAATAGAAAAAAGAAATTGCACACCGCAGCAATAAGATTTGAACTCAAGAAATTTTATTTCATCTATCAGTTTAACCTTTGATATTCACGGGCGATATCTCACACCTCACATAATGTGATCTTGTAAGAAAGGTGTATTTTTATTTTTTATTTTTTATTTTTTATTTTTTTTTTGAGTGTTTAGATTATGAATTTAAATAGAAATTTAAAAAGAAAAAGGAAACATGTGAGTAAAATATTACTAAAATATAATTATATTTCATTCATATGTCATTTATCTTTTCTTTTTTTCTTTTTTTCCTTTTTTCTTTTTTTCTTTCTAAATCACTATCTAAATTTATAAATCAAATGCAGCCTCAATACATCTTCTAATGGTTTTGAAGTAATATTTCACATCATTATATTGTGAGACTTATTTTGCTACCTCCTAACAATAGCATAAAAATAAGGATACAAGACAGTTTCAATCCTAAAGTATGCATTATTTTTCATTTTAATTTTTTAAGTTTTAATTTTGTCACTTTTGTCATCAAAGTTGTCAGTTTGAGTCAATTTGGTCATAGGTCTAACATCCGTCTAAATTGATAACATGAATATGTATATAAGGCAACTTTGATCCCTATAATATGTGTTTTTGTACTTTTAATCCTCTCAAGTTTTAAATTTTTTCATTTTAATCCTTAAAATTGCCAATTTAAGTTAAGACGAAATTAACTCAAATTGACAATTTTAAAAAACTAGGACGTGACATTAATAGAGCTTCATCTAGATTCATTAATCTCAAAATAAAATAATAATTCTTGGTAGCTTGAATTCCACCAGGACGGAATCCCCTAAATCCTGATTGGAACATACACCTCACTTCACCTCATCGAGCCCAATCATCTTCAAATTTTAAATATTACAAGTTGACCTCAAAAGTTTGAAAATTTCAACAAACATATAAATATTAAGAAAAATTATAATTGTGTAGAATCTAATAAGTAATAGTTATATGCATTTAATTATAGCACTAAGAGTTGAAATAAAAGATAGTTTAGATTATATTTCTGAATTAGAAAGTGAGTTAACTAGATTAAAATTTCTTTTAGCTATTACTTCTGGACAATCTATAATCAATTATAGCCAGAGAATTGCTAGTGTTAAAAATAAAATATCCTTAGAAAAGACAAGTGTAGAATACCAATGAAAACTTTTACAAGAGTTAATATTAAATTAGATCTGCTTAAATTAGATTCGCATTTAGATCTTCAAGCCCGCAATTGAAATTGGTATCAGAGCCCTATTTCTCGGCCTTACCAATAACATTTGCATGAGTATTAAATGTAGTGAAGAAGTAGAATCTGATAACTTATATAATAATACTTATTTACAAATAATAATAGAACAAAATAATACCTTAATTAGGCTATTAAAGGAAATTAACAAAAAACTTAGAACTAATCAATTAGAAATAATAAACGAAATTAGACATTTTATACCAGATCCAGAAAAACAAGTAGCTATTTTTTAAGAAAAACAAAAAGAGTTAAATTTATATCCATGCCCATATAAAAGAAATAATCCAAAAAAACCATTTGAATTAGTTTTCCCTGAAAACTAAAAACATAATAGAGTTAAGTAACTATAGCCTAAAACAATGAAAAGAAATGACTAAAAAGAAAAATGATAATAAAATAAAATACAAAATAATATTAAAAATAGCTAAACAATTAGATATGGTAGATAAAGAAATAATAGAATAAATAAATAACGATAGAATAGAATTAGAAGAAGATATATATAAACAATTAGGATTAATCAATTTAGAGAAATGGAACACATTCCCCTTAAAGATTTAGAACAAATAATGAAAAATAGCGACACTGAAAAAGAAAGGAAAAATAATATCTTAGAAGATTTCGAAGAAACAAATAACGTTTGGTAAAACAAAAATGAAGTAGTTCGTCCACCCCAGCTAATCCAAATCACCCAAATTTTAGAAATTTTACCAGATAACAATTGGAAAATTATACTAGAGATTACGATTATAGAAGAAGAATGAGACACTATAGTTATCTAAATAGAGGATCTTTTGCTAGAAGAACATCCAATTATGTAGACTTTACCCCTATAAAGGAAGTATTTTTGAGAGAGGTACCACTAAAACCAATAAGTAATACAAGATATTTATTAGACATTGATTATGCTACAAATACAAGTGAGATAATAATAAAATAAAATAAAAAATTGGAAGAGAGGTATGCTCTATGTCTTAAATATCCATAGCAACAGCTGGAGCGCACAAATTTTTTTAAATTATATTGAACATAGCTTTGCAGGTATAGTAGCAAGCTGGTTTGACAACTTGAGAGAAAGTGACAAAGAAAAATTATCAGCGGAAACTACCTCAGAAGGTATGTTAAACCTATTTGTCATATATATTGAAGATGTAAAATATATTGAAGATGAATTCGTAGGAAAAGAGTGGAATAATGATAAAAGAAAAAGAGAATGGGTCTGAAAATTAAGTAATATAGAAATATGTAATATGAAATATATATATAAAATTATATATGTGAATACTTCTATTACTGCTATCAAATATGGGGAAATAAAATTCATTTAACTATGTTTTTTCATAAATTATCATATCCTATAAATGTTAATATAGAAAAAAGAAATACAAAAAATGGTTAAAAGAATTAGGAGATGCCACAGGTGACACATTGGGTCAAAAAATTAGGTATCTAAGAGAATAGGTAGAGCAAAGAATGCATGAAAATGAAACAAAGAAGATAAATAAAAAAAACAATACTTACTTTATTGGCAAACATCTAATTCATGGGGATGTGAGCCTTCATGAAGAAAACATACAATAAGAAAAAAAAAAACATTTTATAAAAGAAAAAGTTTTAAAAAATAAGGTGGATAAATAATATAAAAAAATGTTATTAAAAATAAAATAAATTTTTTAAAAAAAAACCCTATAATTTCAACAAAAAAATAAGATTTTTTTAGAAAAAATAATTATTGTCGAGAAAGAAAAAAAAAGACTTGTAAATATTGAGCGTGTGGAGAAATAAGTCATTGTGCTAATTAATGTAGAAATAAAAAAATAGTAAAAGCCTTAGAAAGCTTTTTTGTAACGCTCCGATTTTTATACCATATTATTTGTTACTAATCTATTATTATTATTATCTAATTTCATGACATTCATATAAACAAGAAATAAAAGTAAACAATTATATAAATTGAAATCTATCACATTCTCATAAATTCTTCTTTAAGTTCATTGTAATAATTTATAATACATTAAAATATATAAAAATATGCATCCAATGTAACGCCCCCAAAATAATTACAATAAACTAACTCCAAACACTAGTACAATGTGATATAAATAAAATAAAATAAAACTTTCATTAATCATAGTT